GGAAGTGTGTCCCTGGCACTGTCTCTCAACCCCTGCCTCTCTGAACGGATGTTAGAAGCAGACATGGTCCATCAGGATAGGAGCGAGCTCCTCAAGGCTCAACGTCAGCTCTCATTTCTACTCTCTTCTTCTCTAGTAATAAAATACTCCAGCTTTGCCCTTCCAGCTCAAGATTGTCGAGAGCTTTCCAAACACTAAAAAGGTAACACAGTTCTGCAACAAGGAAGCAGAATTACCCTTAATCTGTGAGGGCAAAAGGCAGTATCAAGAGGGTAGGTGATTTTTCCTTAGGCCACTTAAAAAAATCTGTATCCCAGCAAGAATAGAATCAGACTTCCTGATCAACTACAAAATTGTTCTTATTCTCCCTTTTAGCTTTTGCAATCCTGTTTCATTCTCCTAAGCAATACAAACAAATTAAGATTACCTTATCCTGGAGCTGCACTTTCCAGGAGCTTACCCTAGTAAGTTCTCCTCTGAGTTTATTTTTGATTCAGTTTATCTGAGGACATAGAAAATGGACCCTTTTACAGAGTGAGAAATTTCTTCCATTAAACCAAGGTCTATAGGTTTCCACTCTGAGCCCTTTGTTGCTAAATATTCTGTGGCAACGGCAGCCTGAAGAAGGGAGCAAGTAACATGACTTGGTAGTCTAATCATCCTTTGTACCACAGGCTGCAAACAGACTTCTCCAGGTTTCTCTGAAAAGATTTCTTTATGTGTCATTCCCAAAGTCCTGTCAGAAAAGTAGTGACACAAGTTAATGATTTGTCACAAGGTTATATTGTGGCTTACCATGACCATAAGTCATTATTTCTAATAATGCCACCCATTCTAGAGTGCTGGAGCTTCACAGTGTAATTATGCTGGCCACACTGCGCAGGAGAAGGTCTTCAGGAGAAGCCTGTCAACACACAAACTTTGTCATCATGAATATAGCACAAGGCTATTATAGTTCCTGTTTTCTAAGCAATTTCTGTTTTCTATTCTATTTTTCTTTTGTATTCTCCTGCCATTTTCTTCTTTCCTTAACCTATGCTGGAGACCAATTTTTTTATATAGTCCTTCTGTGGAATAACCTTATTAACCTTATATGTCAGCACTCTGCTGACATATCATCAATCACAAAGTTGCAGTCAGAGAACTGACTTACTCTTCAGGGCAAGAAGAATGGTAAAAGTTGAAGAGGGATCAGATCCCTGAGAAACAAATACACTGCGGGCAGCGTAGCAGCAGCTGTATCACTCAACCTTGGGCTTCCCCCAGACATTAAGATATTCAAGAGATAAAGATTACCCACTACTGTGCATTCTAACACCAGTGGATCATGCCTTGGGGGCTGCCATAGCTTGCACCAACCTGAGGCCTCAGTGGAGTCGTAGGAGCAAATAAATTAATGCGAGACCACCTAGGCAGCTTTCAGCATCATGTGGTGCTGAATACCTGTATACTGATGGTTGTGTTAGTACGGCAGCATTCTCTCTGTATTGCCCTTCTCATCAAAAACAAGATGGAGCGGTTTTCAGTGCACTTCAGAGATCTCTGCTGGAACTTTAACTGTAGCAGAAATACAAACATATGTGGAAGGTTAATTTGGGGGGGGGGATGTTTCTTGGAGAGCTGAATTTGCACTGAAATCTGTCACTAATTCAGCGTAGATATATGTCCCTTATTTAATTGAGCTTCTGCTCTGGGGACTATGCACCAGCACAAGAATGTTATTTGGAGAACAGAAACATAGGTTTTGGGGCAACCTTAATATCACTTGGACTGTGATCTACTCTAACATATGTAAGATTGTAATATTTTTCCGCGATTGTCATAATTTCCCACAGTTCCCCTAGAAATAGCAAGAATGTATTGCCTTAATTGTGAGATTATAGAGAGTTTTTCTTATCTTCAGAAAAATTATCTTAAATAGCAAAAGGTATACCACGCTTTTGACCTATGGATCTATTGCATAGGGATAGATTAGCATATGCATACATAACAGCAGGTAGCCCTTAGTGTTCTCTATACCTATCTTATTTCAGGTAATACAAAACATTCTATGATTCTATGATTCTATGAATACGTTAAAGCTTAAACCTGTCTGTGTGAGGTCATCAGGTTATGATATCTACCAAAAGCAGGGGCAGACTTAAACAGCACTATGTTTGATGAGTAATTTTCTGAGTAATTTTTGTCTGAAAAACAGTAAAACTTTTTGTGCTGCAAAGCTCTGGGAGTATAAAAACTCGAGTCGCTAATTGGGACTACTCCAGAAATCTATGTTAGGTTCTATCCTGTTTAACAGCCAATCTACTTGTCAGGGAATTAAAACTGGCTCCCTAAACTGCTATAATAAAAAGATGGGATAAATCTGGGGACTTGGACCTGAGGACTTCAGAGCCAGAGTGTCTTGCAGCTGCTTTCAGATTCATTTCAGTCTTTATGTTGGGACCCTGAATAATCAATCATTCCTTAATTAGGTGGCCCAGTATAACCAGGGTCTATAATGTCTTAAAAGAATCACATCTCAGTTGGAAATTCTCTTGATTCATCATTTCCAGTGAAAACCTCATTGTGCTTAGACTGCCCTGATAGTTACTTGCTCATTATTAGGGTAGGGCAAACAGCCTAAAAGATCTCAATACAGGACAGGTGACGTTAAGCAAGAACTGTATATCTCTGAGGTGGTAATGCCTCCTTGTACACCAGCATTTTTTAAAGCGGGGCTTGGGCACTGTGAGTACTCTGTACATCTAGTGTGGTTTATAGGAAATTACTTACTATCTTACTATTACTTACTTACTATCATTGTAAATGACTTAGCAATGTCATTGTAAGTGCTTTGTCAATGACACGAGAGAAGAACTAGTCCAAAGTGAAAGAACAACCAATAAAAAAAAAAATCCAAACCTGAAATTCCTACTCATGGATGTAAGCACCAGTCATGTTGCTCTGTAGCTTTACTTCAACTGGTTTATCCTGCTTGTTTCGGTCAGGCATAGCCACAGCACTGAATTCTTTGTTCTGGCTTCTTGTCTAGTCCTTTATACATTTTAATGAGCTAGTGTCACATTTAAATACATTAGCTTATCTGAGACTGCTTCTTATTTTGCATCTCAGAACTATTAAGATCTACTGGCAGGCTTACTATAGGTTTCTAAATTTCAAAGCTTCAGGATTAGTGTTGGTGTTATAGCCTTGGAACTTGCTGTCTTCAGAATTCTGTTAGGGATACGAGAATTTGAAGCTTCAAAGCGCAATGTGATTCCCCTCTTCTTCTGTAAGTTCTTACCTGCCTTTTTATCTCCATTTAGGGAGAGGTTTGCTTTTTATTTTTTTTAATTTGGCTTAACTTCTTCTGTCCAGATACATTGCTGCTGTATTAGTGGCAACATATGCTTTTAAAGACAATGTAAACAGATAAATAGAACAACATTTTTTTCTGCAAAGTCCCCGTAATGCCCTATCTATTTACCAAATAATTGTCTTGGTAAGTATCAGAAAGGCTGAAATTACAGCACAAACTAATCCTGCACTGTAGCTGTTGCATACATGAGAGTTTCTACGAAACCTCAAAAAACCTCTGCCCAGAAGTTTTCTGTATAATGGATAAATGAATGAAAGAGTGGAGAAGAATAATCTGTCCTTGAGGATCTTTATTTGAGGTAAAAGGAGAGGCAGTTTGTGCTGCAATGTTAACAAAAAAACCCAAAACCTGTCTAGTTCTATGAAGAAACAACCTGCTTAGACACCTTTTCTCTCAGTACACCAGCATGTGTTTTCTTCACTATATAAAGTAACTCAAGTCTTCTTCATAATGCTCATTCTGCACAGACTAGAAGTGATGTTTTTCAGGCTATTAGGTAGCAACATCAGCCTAAAAAAATTTGCCATTTCATCCCTATCCTAACCCCAGTCCATACGCAAATCTTCAAGTTAAAGTTCAAGCTTGAGCTAGCTTGCTTGGCAGAAATAGGTCGTTTGACACTAAAGCTCCAAATGCTGTAGAGATGAGTTATCTACGAATTACAACAGCTTATCAGCTGCTAATCCAATTAGTCTGCATGGCTTCACTGTTGCGTGGCTCTCTTAGTCCTCTTGGGCTCAAGGTAGGCAGTAATTCACATGATACAGCTAACACTTGCAGGAAAGACAAGCTCTAAAAATTCTCCTAGAGGGGGGTGAGTAAATCACTAAATATCCCACGAGTAATTTAGATGCTATGATCACTGGTGCGGGCAGTGTGTAATCACGCTTTATTGACAACTCCTAGAGATCAGTCTTCCTTTGAAGCTGCCTAGAGCGAAATTGAATAGAGCGTAGCTAGAGGGCCTAATGCAGCATATAGCGAGGAGACCTGATCTGGCACCAGGTGAGCTGCCTGGGGCGAGGGAAGCACTGCAAGCCTTTTAGCATAGTGCTGTGCATTGGCCTGCATCCACCGCTGTGAATTTACTCCGTATCCTTAGAGACAACCATTTGTAGAGAGTGTGGCAGTTTGCTCACACGGACCCAGGACTCTTAGCACATCTAAGACACTTCAGGTGGTGTGTTTTTTGGAGGAGAAAGGCAATGCCTGTGTAAGTGATCTTGTAATAGAAAACTTGCAAATACAGTTCCTGTATAAATAAACATTGGACTTTTAACATGTTTTTAAGTTCATGTCTGATCACTTCAATAATCTCAACAATTAATTTTTAAAAATGCTGTGCTTCCTTGGACACTGGTTTGTGAAGCCATGTTTCATCTCAGAGTATATTATCACAGCTTTATAAACACCTGAATACAAAACTGGAAAACCACTGACAGGAATCTTAAAGACAGGCTGCTACTAAGTACCACCCAACAACCCACAAAGCAATTCCACTTATCATAATAAAGGGGATCTCAGATATACTTAGCTAAAATGCATACAAATTCTTTAAATGTGTTAAAACATAAAGTGAATTATTAGATGTGTGATTTGTGTATTGGTATCAATAACCATTTTTTATTCTTTTTTCTTGCAGGAGGTGAAGTCGCCAAGCCCAGATTTGCTCAGTATTTCCATGGCAGCCTGGCCAGTCTTACCATCCGGCCAGGCAAAATTGAGAGTCAGAAAGTGATTTCCTGTTTGCAGGCCTGCAAGGAAGGTCTGGATATTAATTCTCTTGAGAGTCTTGGCCAAGGAATAAAGGTGAGGGATGAACTGACATCATCTTTGATAAAAATTTAGAGCTGATTTATGAAGCAGAGAGCCCAAGGTAGAGTACACACAGTACAAATGTACTCCCAGAAGCAATGTAATTTCCCATAAAGTCATGCAAAGAAAAAGCGGAACAGTAGAAGAGCTGTGACACTGCAAAGAAGAATGTTTCCATTATTGCAAAGCTAGATGCTCAGAAAGTGAGGCGCTGCTGATATTTCAGAGTCCAAAAGAATTGCCAGGTCGTTTTCTCATGCTTATTTTGGTAGTTTTACAGAAATAGACATGATTCCAAAGAATTACTGAATTCTGATCTTGAGTAGCTTTAAAGCAATGGAAAAAATAGGTGGAATATCTTTCATCTAGAGGCAGCTCCGAAACAAGTCCCAGTGCAATGGTATTGAAAAATTCAAAGTGTGTTCCAAGAAGACGACATTATGGGGCATGAAAATTGGGCAGTAAAAAAATGTAAAGTCAATAAATTAAATTTTTACATTTGCATATAAATCATTATGCATATGACTATTTACTGATATTGTAACACTTTCTAAGATTGGAGAACAGACGGGGGAAATCCTGTTTCAGTTGACATAGGGGCCAGATTGCTTTGCATTCATTAAGACAAATTCTGTTCTTTTGGATACATACGTAGGGTCTTGACTATACCTTCCATGATGCTTAAGTGAGATGCATTGTCTGTTTCCCTTTACTGATACCATTATTAGATGACAGGTTGTGTTCTACCTCGTGCATAAACACGCTGTCAAGCTATTTCCTAGCATGCAGGTCACATACCATCTTCCAGAGGAACTGAGCTTCAAATTCAAACTCGGAAGATACTTTGGCTGCAGCCTATGCATCCTGTGAAATGGCACAGGTGGTTTTTTAGTGTGTTGTTTTTCAGTGGGGAGGAGGATGGTGCTGTAACATTTGGTCTAGAGCAGACAGTGGAAGTGCCTTGTACTATATTTTATTATCTAAACCTTTTCATTGTACAAGATCGGAGACTGACCTGAAATACACTCAAATGTCTGTCTAGATGATAAGTTGCAGTGGTGTAGTCTAACCAATATGTTTTTTGCTAGCTCTAGCTTTTACATACGAGCAAAACACCCCAAATACTTTTTTTTTTTTTTCTTTATCCTATCAAGGTCATCATTAAGAATTTCCCATTGTTGCTTCTCCCAGCCAAATGACACAGTTATGGGTAAAAGCTTTTTTTAAAAGACAATGCATACAAAGAGCAGATAGGGTTTTCTGGAACACAAGTGTATATGCCTAGCTGTAAGTTCTTTGCTGGGAATTTACATGAATTAAAGCAGTGTAAACTTGGTCCATGGTGCTTAAAAGCATCATAATACCTCCCCTGTTGTCACACTCTGAAACTTGACAATAGTTGTGTAGTCTTGTTTTATGGGCTTGGAAAAATCCCTGTTATACCACCCACTGCTGCTCCAGCCTGGGTGATTGGCTTCCTTACTGTACTAGCAGTGCGGTGGGGAAAATGAAGATGAGGGATTGTTTTCTGCCTTTTCTGACTTTCACCAAGCTTCAAAACATTTTCATTTTCCGAAATACAGATGAGGCATAGTGGTTTTTAAAGTCACTGTTTTCATTTTACTCAGCAAGCTCAACAGTCAGTGCAACAGCAGGAGGCAAAATGAAAAGAGCAGTCAGAGAGAGATTGTGGTACGGTTTCTTATTGGGGCTGACAGAAAGAAGCGCGGATGAAAGTGGAACAGTTGGCACCTGACCTTGAACAGAAGATTAATAAAGGGTTTCTGGTGTCAGAAATAAACATACCTGAGCTCAGACAAGCATGTGTGAATGTTGCACAGATGATAAGTTCTGCGTGGCTATTTACGTGGCACTTAGCAGATTCAATGTTGGCAAACGGATGTTGGAAGGTGTTTCTGCTGGGCACTTCGGACTCATGAAGCTTCAGCCTTTAGCCACCTAAGAAAGACCAGCAGAGCTGTAATACGGTTCCTGGCACAGTAGTGTTGGACTTTTTCTTTGTCTGCAGCCTAATTTTCAGATATCTGTAACAGCTCTCAAACACTGTCTAAACTGTTGCTATTTTTAGCCTTTTTTAATGAGAAAGACAAAAACGGCTCAGACTAGGGCTTTCTCCAGTCCCTTTGGCAGCATTCCAGCTGTTCTGGCAGCTGAGCTATTAAGTTAACTAGGTAGCTAGAGTCCCCTTTTGCTAATTTTATCCTCTACTGCTGCTAGCTTACCAAAAGGAAAAAGAAGCATATGCAGGCTATGACTCCTGTTAGTCCACCTCTTTGCTAAACAATACCCTTCGGTGTGTTATGACCTTCCTGCACAAGCTTTAAACCCAGTCCTCCATGTTCTGTTCAACAGAGAACCCTGTGCTTCGTTCTGTCTATTTGCTCTTTTGCTTTTTTAACCTTTCTCATTGCAAGGAATTGTAGACATCCATTGTCTGTATATAGTAGAACATGTTCATATAATCATTATCCAGCTTTGGGAAGGGACTGCATGTGAGAGAAGGGTGCATTTTGGGCTGCCAGCAGTAGGGTGCAAAATCAATGGAGTTAATCTGGTTTTCTTTGCAGTACAGACGGTTTGCTGAACCAATTAACAGATAAAAAAATGGAATCAGGGTGAATTATGATAAAGATAAAAATCAATCATTTGCTATGTAAATGTAGTAGCAGAGTTTCTTGGTCAGCAAGACTGTTTCGTATTCAGTGCAATGGACTAGAGAAGGATTAGGGCTACAGGGGTAGCCATTGACTTTGCAACGTTTGTTGGCTCAAATGAGCAGCTGGCTTTGTGCAAGTAGCAGCTCCATCTTAAATCATGACACCCTTCTTGATCATGAGACAGAGAAAGGAGAATCCCCTTTATTGTGTCTGTCTCTAATGAAGATGTAGAAGGCAAATGTTGTAATTTTTTTTTTCATTCATGTTGAAATATATCTCAGAAAGGTAGCTCAGGGTAAAACCAAACAGAAAGCAGGAAAAATACACTTAAACTCTGGTTTAAGCCAGTATTTTTATATGGGGGATATGTTTAACCTAAAAAAGTTACATAGTAATAATAACGAGGACAGTAAGTTAACGTTTTGAACTCTACAGCTGCAGAAATAGTATCAGCAAAGTTGATAAGGCTGGGCAAAATACAGCAAATTGGGATTAGTCTACTATAAAATTAATTATAACAGTTATTCAGATATGAAATAGATGACTGGTACGAGTACATGTTTTAGAGAACAACATGTGGATTCAGCCAACAATAGCTACTAAGATTTTTTTTTTTTTCTTAAATCATTAGATTTTAAACTTATATCTGTGCAGCACTCCTTAAAAAGTGTCTTATTTTGTACTCTGAACCTGGTACCTTAGATACTAATCATATGCATTTCCCCTAGTATCACTTCAACCCTTCCCAGTCAGTCCTTGTCATGGAAGGAGATGACATTGAGAATATAAATCAAGCTCTCCGAAAGGTCTCATACATCAACTCTCGACAGTTTCCTACTGCAGGCGTACGACGTCTCAAAGTCTCATCTAAAGTCCAGTAAGTTATACTTCAGCTGAACTGATTAGATTAGGAATATTTTTAATGAATTACTTTTTTCTTTGGACATGTAAAAAGAAGAATTTTGGCTAAATTACATTGCTAAATCATACTTTTATGTTATTGAGCATAAAGGATGAATTTAATTTACTTTTATGCTCATCTATATTGTGGTTTTCTTTTGATACTGTCCTTTTAAGAAACTTTCCTTGTTAATGTCATTTGCTTGCATTCTGTTGATAGTTCGGAGCATTCATTCTGGCCCGAACAGTAATTGCATTTATTGTATTCTTATTTTACTGTTCACTTTAAAAAGGTATAGTTTCTTCTGAGATAGCTAGAGACATGACTTTTTAAAGCAGGCCTATTACATCTAACAGATGACACATCTGCAAGAACAATATTTGTGGGTATGCTTGAAATAGTCTTCATCTGTACCCTTATATGGCTGTCATCATTGCAGTACTGGTGTTGAGCGTTAAACAGAAATCTTTGTCCTTCCATTTTCATGCAACAGCAGTGACAGAATGTGCACAGTAATGTTTACAGTTCTACATAATCAAAGAGCCGTCTGCTACTCCTGAGCTCCCCTGGGGTACATCTCTGTTAGAGCAAGTTGTACAGTGCAGTGAAAGCAGATATTTAGAGTGAAAATAAGCATCAGTTCTACAAACTCTCTTTTGTGTACAGTTCTTACTAAGTACCAGGTTTAGTCTAATGCTGTGGGCTGACCACACTAAGTGTTTGGAGAGCATCTTCTGATGTAGTTTCACTTGGAAGCGGTCCAGTTTGCACACTCCAAGGCTGGCCCAAGCCTTGTGCCAAGATGAAGTAAGGTAGAGTTTGTCAGGAGATTCACTTCCAAAGCACAGTGCTTTTCAGATGAAAATACTACTATAGGCCCCTCTTGTACCCAGTAAATACTGGGGGTGCCAGAATGAGTTCATGGTGAGTCTGATTTAAATGATTGATTAATTAGGCCCTTTTATTCACACATGACAAGATAACCATATTATATTCATTAGATATCTCTTTGAAAATTTAATGTTAGGTTTACTAAAGTTAGTTGTTATCATCTAATTAATTTTTTTAACCATTTACTACTTTTTAAATGTCAGTTAAACATCAAACTATTATTCTCATAGCGACCTTACTAGAGACTGAGCTTGTCATGAATTTGTTTGCTAAGCTGTCCCTAACATAATTTCAGTAGTTGTGAATGTGGGAGGGGAACAGGGCTGTTACTGTCACTGCTGGCCTATGTACGTTGTGGTACAGATGCATGTCCTTATGTGTGGGAAAGTATGGACTAGACTGATCTGAGACAATATGAAAGGATGGGGGGCATCAGGTGGGTTTTGAGCAGTTTAAGTAAGTGCCACACCTCTGATGTGCAATGATGTGTGACATGCAGTTAATGAATAATATATTTTTCAGATGTTTTGGTGAAGATGTCTGCATTAATATCCCAGATATAGATGCGTATGTAATGGTGCTTCAGGCCAATGAGCCCAAGATTACAATAAGTGGGATGGACCACTTTGCTAGACCAGCTGCACAATTTGAAAGTGGAAGAGGTGTAATTTTGTTACCTGACATCAGGATTGTCAGCACAGTCACAAAAATGGAGCATCCAGTGGACTTAAAAGAACGTGACAGAGGTTTGTGGATTTCTTTTAAATGTTATCACTTACTGTGTAAGTATTTTTTTAAAGGATAGTGCAAACGAGTAACACAAAGGAAGTCACTTCACCCAGGTTAATTTAGACAATGTTAGGCAGCAGTAATGCTGTACTGAAGACATTCAATTAAACACATTGAAAAATGCGTTAAATAGTGATACATCAGTGTGTGCTTCAAAAAAAGCAGCTTTTCCATTTAGTGTCTTGCCTACTTCAGAATAATTCCTTTCCACTCTTCTTTACGTAGTCTGTTGAATAACATTTTCATTAGAATCTCTCTATTTCTAAGACTTTTGTTAATTGTGCCAATAAAGTGGAAAGCAGCAATTGACAAATAGCTGGAGTTTTAGTCTGTTCTTATGTTTCCAGCCTGCTACTGACTTGTGGGTGATACTTGAGAAAGTAACCTTGTGCCTCAGTTTCTCATCTATATAATGTAAATATAATAATTTGCAAAGATTTTTTTCCACGATGGTAGGTTATTCTAATGCTGAGCAATGTGTTATTCAACACTAGGTGAATGTTTAAAAATACACAAATAAGGTTTAAAATAATTGTCTATAAAGGAATCTTTCTTTTTGGATGTTTGTGTGCAAAGTATATGAAAAGCCTAGTAATGTGAGGAATCATTCCAAACAATATTTGTTGGACTAGAATAAGCAGCAACTAGATGTACCTCTCTTGAAAAGATAAAATAGCTAACAATGTGCCAGTGTAGGGGCCGCAGCCCAGCTCTTGCCTGTCTCTTATAGCTTCCCGTGAAGTAGTCCAACTCAACAGCCTTAGCAATATCCAGGTTTCCTATCCTGCAAATTTGAGTTGCGTCTGTGTTTTTGGATAAGTTAGAGCTGCACCAAGAATTCAGATACCCAAATTTGCTGCACAGGAGTTGGGAACCTAGGGCATAAGACTTTGCTGTCTGTGCCTTCCTTCCCCATACACCCTCTAAAATTAAATTCTCAAAATGGGCACTAAGTTTGAAGATTGCAGTCTCTGTGTCTATGGTATCCTCAGGCAGCTGGTTAAGCAGCCTTGCCAGACACTCTGTACTAAGTTGACCAGAGAATTAAAACATTAAATTGATGTGCTACTCTTTTTCCTGTGACAGAATTTATTTTTTTTTTTTTTTATCCTACCTACTTGAAGGATAGTCAGGTTATAGCTCAGTTTCTCCAAGTCACATAACACAGGATCTTGCCATTTAATACCATGTTCTTGGATAGATGGCCATGTTCTTTGTAATGAAAATTCTTTATGGACCATAGAGTAACTGAGAGAATCATCCAAGCATAGATGTATTTGCCATGTATTTTTTCCAGTTTGGTTTTCCTTGAGAAAACAATGAATGTGTGATACCAACCTGGTATCAATGCAGTACTGAAAAACAGAATTGTTTGCATGAATTTATTTCTCGGATCCAATTTCACTTGTCCAGTACTGTTCTTGAATGACTTTTATTACAGAGCAATATGTTTTCTATCTATCTATCTGTCTCACTAACCATTTGTAGGCCTTCATCATCATAGCAACTGATCAGGCAAGACACTTCTTTTTTTTGCTTCAACTATGCTGTATTTAATATTGGCAAAAAAACAATTCAGCCATCTTTGCAAAAAATGAAAGCCCTGATGCAAAACACATAAAAAGACTGAGCTGTTCTGTGATCATTTATCTTAGTTTCTTTCTTCTTTTTTTTCATGGTATGTGCCATGTGTTCACAGGCAATAAGCCAGTGGTATTAGAGGAAATGCTGCACAACTTGGATTTCTGTGATGTTTTGGTCATTGGCACAGAACTAGATCCTGAGCAAGAGTGTTTAGAACTAGATCATGTGGAGCTTCAAGGAAAGCATCTAGATGCCACAAATTCCACAGCAGGATATTCAATCTATGGTATGTTCACAGACTTTGCTTTTCCGTATTTCTTGCCACTAGCAATTACATTATCAGAATGAAAGGACTAATTTGAAAGAAAGTAGACAGAAACCTGTGATGTACTAGCTGTAAAATATTCCAGGAGAGACAGTGTCTCAAAAAGCATAGTTACTTCTTGATCTCTGGGTGTGCTGTGTTTATCCTTTGGAATACTGCAGAGCTTTGTCTTGACCTCAGCGTACCTCCTGCTGCTCCCCAGATAAAGAAAATAGCATCACTGCTTTCTTTAAATGTGGGGTTCTTGTGGACTGTCACAGTAGGATGTGGGAATGAAGGGATTCCTCAGTGCTCCTGTACAGTGCTGGTAACTTGTTGGCCATTTTTTCAATTGCTAAATAATTTATTCTAAATCTTTGCTGTTGTATTTGTTCCTCTCCATCATGGACCTACATTCATTTCCAAAAAATAGTCTCACATAATTTAGTACCAGCCAGAGGCTCTATCAGGGAGTATTTGATGATGCATTGTCATTTTCAGATCATTCTGCCAAATTTTGTATTTTCTGTGAACCTTTGATTTCTCCTGTACTGCACAGAGCATTTGTTACATAGCATCTCCTTGAGATTATTACTGTTCTATCACCATTTCAGGTGTGGACAGCATGCACAGCTATGAACAGGTTCTTCGGCAGATTCGATATCGTAACTGGTACACTTCTGCCACCTTTGACAGAAAGTTCAGAGTCAAGTGCTCCGAGCTAAATGGACGTTACACTAGCAATGAATTTAACTTGGAGGTAAGCAATCATTTAGTCAAGTTTTCTTTTCCAGCACTGAGGCTGAGCATTAGCCTTATCTTCAGCGACATTAAGTTTTCTTTAAAATATGTAAAATGACTGATGTGTTCTGGTAATTGTTATAATCAAATAGAGGAAAAATTATTCTAAGTTCCATTCAAATAGGAAGTTGACTTCTGCAGGCATTCCTCAACGTGGGTTTCTCTATTCTGCTGCACATGTAAGGAGATGACCCTTCTCTTGAACGAATGCCACTAACACAGAGAATTACTCTATTCAAACGGAATGGAGGCTAAGGTCATTCATCATTGTTTTTCCATGATGTAAATCTCCTACAGGTCTTTTTGAAGATTTGTACACCTCCTTGAAAGTAAATCATTACAGCCTCATTTATTTTCCTTAGATTATTTATTTTTTAACTTAACCTGACACAGTTTTTTTTCTGTAGCATTCACCTTTTCAGTTTTTCCAAGCACTACTTCCTTGCAATAAGTTTTGTAATTTGTTCTTCATCAGATGGAAATCATTCCTGGTAATTTACATGATTTCAGATTTCTTTGAGGAGGAAAGTTAGTATACAGGTAACAAACACATAGGCTGGCTTCATCTGTCATATCCCCTTGGATCCACTACCCAGACATGGGCAGTTACTACAGGAGTATTTACATAGCTCTCTTGAGCTGAGGGGTGCTGGTACCAGGTCCAGTGCAGCAAAGTGGCTTCAGGGCGTGAGAATTACTGCTGATGCACTTCAGCAGCAATCATGGACCTGTTCTGAAGAGCCAACTTACAGCCTAGAAACCCAGGTACCAAGTAACTGGAGGAAAGGGCAGGACCTTTAGCAATAGGCCCAAAACTTAGTAATTGGTTCTGAAAGGTTTTACCTGTTTACACTGTATTGAAAACTCTTTTCACCTTAGCATTCTGCAGCCCTGACAATGACTTCAGGGTTTTTGCTTATAAATGTAGCTATCGGTAGGACAGAGAACTGATATGGTATCTTCAAAGAAAGTCACTCAGAAAGTAGGGACATAGGAAAAACTTAAACCTCTTTTAATTCTCTCTTACTGTTTTGGTTCTAAACTCAATGAGTTTGATACATTCTCTGGGAGTGTTCAGAGAGACAAATCTCCCACTAATTTTCAGGGAACACCTAAAAGCTGATTAGTATAGAGAAAAAAAAGTCACTACTTATCCAGACAGGTAAATCACAAAAGCCCTTTTCTGTGCCACTTCGTAGTCTACAGCTAGAAATGTTAGAATGTATTTTTAATGCTAGAAATGAGAAATATATTAACCTGTGTATTTTTCACTGGCATGAAAAAGTGAATTTGGCCTTTAAGATCTATATAATAATGTTCCTATCTGCTGATGAACTTCATAGTTCAATGTAAAGTATGAAGCCAGCAGGCTTGGAATATAGTGTGCTTTTTAGTATCTGATCTCTTATTTTTCTCTTGTGCCAGGTTAATATTCTACACAGCTCCAACTCCAACTTCATGGACCATGTAAATCATGTGATAGTACAACCACAATTTCTCCAATCTGTCCACCACACAGAGGGAAGCATAAGTACTGTTCACAACTCAGGTATGTGATGACTTTACAGAGACTGCTCATAATGATTTTGGCATGTCAGTATTCCCCTTGTAGTTCAGCCTGGTCAACAAATAAAGCCCCGAAGTCCATAGTTGCAGCTTGTAAAACCTCGTAGAGATCATTGCACAGGTATGAATGAAAGTAACATTGAATTCTCTTCTTTCTTTCCAAGGAGGTACTTTGTAATTCAAAACTGGTATTTTTTAAAGTATTCATTAAAGGTTATGTACTCTGACCCACATAGTTAAGAAAATGTCTTGTTTCTAGTATTAAAGGGTATGAAGGATAATATTTATGCTCACATTGTCTCTGTACATCTGTATTTCTATGGCATATTAATTTCTGCTGACCTCTTCTAAGCAAAAGGAAGAAATGTTTATATTCTTTTTTAAATCTATAATTGCTGCAATGCTTCTGTTTGTTAGCTGCTGTCCAGGCCTCAGCCTGGAGCTCTCTGAAGAGAAGATAGGTCCACCTAGCCACACGCAGGGAGCATTAGTATATATTAAATACAGAATTGAAATTGAATTTTTAAGACTATATGAGTTAAAATATATGCCAAAATCTGGAGCCTTTTTAATGAAGTCAAACCCAGGGCAAAGATCTGTTTAAACGCTGGATTCTGAAATCATTTTAGCTGAATGATATGTAAGTAAAGAAGTAAAGCTGATTGATGTGAAGTGTAGGTAGTTATAAGTAGTTGTATACAGTTATGCTTAGAAAATTACTGTATTTTCCTGTACATTTGTACAGATATTTTACCTAAACTGAAACTGAATTTTTATAAAATGAACTATTGCAAACTAGTTCTTTCTTCTTTAATATTGTTCTGTTTTCAGAGTACCATTCTTACAGGCAGAGCAGGGTGATAAAATGGGGTACAGAACTGCTATAGCTCCCAGAATGGCAGTACCTAGCTAGCACTTCTCCACTAACCTAATTATGGAGCTGATATTAGAAGAGTAGTTCGGAGAGATTTCTTCCTGTGACTGAGACAGAGGCTTCTCAGAGTGCAACAGAACAGTGAGGAAAAATGTCTTGAATTCTCAAGAGTCTCCCAGGAAGGTTATAACACAGGCTAATAGAGTGGCAATATATTATTTTATTTCTTGAAGATTGACATTTAAATCGCAGTACAAGTGTTTGAAAACTTTGAAAATATAAGCTTTCAGATATACTTTTTCTCACACGTGGGGTTAATGCCTCAGCTGTAATCAAAAGGGGACAACATGCAGGTAAGATAACTGAACGTTATTGCAAAAACACTCATTCTGAAACTAATTGACTCTGCACTGATTGACTACGTGTTGTCTGTAATACAGCAGCTTAAAGAACAAATGGTCAACGTACTCGCTTTATGTACTCACTATAAGATATCTGTAAACACCATTCGTGTATGCTCTGCCTTAGTCAGTGGGCACTTGTCAACACTTTCTGTAGTCCCAGGCACATGGCAGATGGCTGTGCTCATTCTCAATCCAAAAGAAGAGGTGCTGAGGGCAAAAAGCAGACAATGTATTTAGTGTTTTGTAGGCAATTTTTTCCACAACTATAAGTCCATTACCTTTTATTCCAGTTGTTCCAAGTGTGGCTACTATCGTTATAATAATCTGTGTGAGCATACTCATCTTCATCATAACCTTGGGGGTCTATCGAATTCGGACAGCTCATCAGCACGGCTCTGCAGACAATGAAGGAAGTAAAGAAAATGAAATGGATTGGGATGATTCTGCTCTGACTATTACCGTCAACCCCATGGAGGTACATAACTGAGGCATAGTATTATATCATGATATTACTAGGGGTTACTGTCAGGACTGGTAGCTTACTCACCAGTGAGTCTTAAGCCTCTTTCAGCATACACTTGTTTAGGTTTGGCAGAACAGTTGTGCGTATGTACAGTCAGGACCCCATCTCAGTTTTCAGCTCTGCACAGCATAATATATAATGGAGCACTTAATATTTGTTGTCATACACAATTACTAAATAGGATGGTGGAGAATTCTTGGGTACAGCACCAGTTCCCCTCCATCCATATTTGCACTCTCTGTACCCAAGATGATATAGTTTGTTTTTAACATTTCAATGTAAGCATTAATGCACTAAAGGGAGGGGAAATGATCAGCAAGTTAAAGAAGCTGACATTGAAGAGTTAAATTTTGGCAGCTTGACTAACATAGATACTGCTTATTGACAACCATTCTTGTTACACTGGTTTTTGAATGGTGCTACTGAATTGTACCATATTTGATGCCTAATAGTCACATAGTGATGGAAAGCAGGTTTTTCCCAGCATGTTAGCATTTCTAAATGTGGAATAAATGCTCGGATTCTCACAGCCACAGGCTAGCAAGAAGGCACTTTTCTTCTACTGTCTCTCTCTCATTTCTTTAAATGTACTGTAGAAATATGAAAAGCCTCACCAGACAGAAGAGGAGAGTGAGGAAGAAGACATAGAAGATGAAGAGGAAGACACAACTAGTGCTGAATCGGATGAAAGTGAAGAGGAGGAGGAGGAGGAGGAGGAAGAGGAAGTGATTGTCCAAAAGGGAGACAAACAGAATGCCACCAGGCAAGAGCAGTTGGAGTGGGATGATTCAACACTCCCATACTAACAGCCCTCCAGCCACATTGCTATTTTGTAACAACCAATACAATGTTTTCTCAGAGTCTATGAATTCATTGACAGGATTTGAACTTCAGCTTGCCTATAACTGTTTTGCCTAAAATGATCTTGTAGTAATTGATCACGATAGAACTGACCCTTTTCTTACAAAGCCTGGAGAAAATGCAGTACAAACATACTGGCATCACCAGTAATAAAGTAATCTAGAACTTGATCTGTTAGCAAGTGTAGTTCTCAATTTCCTGTTTCTATACCACAGATACGTGACAAAAGTCCTGTCACTCAATCCATAGAGGTTTTGCCTTTCCTATTTTTTTCATACAGGAGCAATTTCAGCTTGTTATGAAGAATTACTCGTGTGGGTCCAAATAACAGTTGCCCTTTGACTTTACACTCTTACAGCCCATCTTCAAGTTGGGGCAGAGTTTTTTAGTGCTACAGGTGACAGAGACTGATTTCCGTTTGTTGTCTCATCCGGCCTTCTTGGATGTTAACTGTCTTCTACAAGGGAATACCTAGAATGTGACATGGGATGCATGTGTGCCTGTGTAGAAGTGGACGGTGTATTTTTTAGGCATGCTGTAAGAAACCTCAAGACAGGGATTTTATCCAACTCACCCATAGAAACTTGAGAGTTAAAAAAACAGAACAACAAGCTGAAGCTTACAAAAAAAAAATCATTCTGTGGCCACAGACTAAGATGATCTTATGCAAACTGTAAATTCTAATGGGATTGATTTACTGAAAACCTGTAGAGCTGCTCATTAGTTATGGATTGAGCAATTTGCAGCAAATCAATGCTTTAAACCGTCTGTCTTGTAAAATCATTAGCTTGCTGCAGTATCTCACTGAAGTAGTGGAAAATAAGTGACCCCATTATTCCATAGCTATGTATGGGTGGAATTTCAACAATGATTTTACATGAGGAAAATGTTCTTTTTTGCTTTAGTGAATGCCAGCTGGAATTCCTGTCTGACTGTATTCTATAAAACATTATGCCCTATTTTTTCTGTACCCTTACCCACCTATGAGTGGCACAGGAGAAAGGAACAGCTTATACAACTGCCAGCTCTTTTGTGCTCATAATTCTCCTTTATTTCTTCTTCCTGAAGCCATTAATGTTGAGAAAAGGTTTTATAAAGTAAAGTAGAACAAGAACAAATAAAACCTACCTGGAACCAAAAGAAGTGAAAACAAAACCTAAACTCTTAAGAGGATGAGAGAGTATTTTAGTTTGTTACGGTAACACAGCGTATTTTTCTTAAACACTGTTTAAAAAGAAAAAAAAAAAAAGCAAAGCTACGTACAATGTGTTGGTAAGTAAGTAAGTCTGTGTGATGTGTTTTTTGTCCCCTTTCCTTAACTACCTTTGCATCTTCAAATGCTCTGCATACCAAATGATGCTAGGATAACGGCTCTAATGCATAAAAACCAAAATGGCATGGAAGTGAATGCTGCCTAGTAGCTTGTCTGGTTTTTTTCTAAGTACATACTTCCTTTTCTTTATTATTTCATCACTGACTTTTGCTTTTGTAATTTGCTGTTTAAAATGAGCTGCTTCCTCTTCTCCTCATTCCCAGGGAAACAAGCAGTCAGTCTTGCCACACAGGACCTTCCTGGGCACCCATGAATGGCAGTTAGTATTGCAAAGCGTAAGTTGAGCAGTCTTGAGGGTGTCCACCTCCCTCAATACTAAATTCCTAGCAGCTCCTGAATGTCTTGGAATATAGAGAATTACTGTGGGTTTGGGGGTTCTTTTAATGCCAGTTTCTGCATCTGATAGTTAGAGGGAAAGATTGACAGCAATTAGACCTTGTAGTTTAATAACTAGAAAGTAAAAAGAATGCTGAATTAATTTTTAGAGATCCTCATGCTCTTTTTTATTGTGCCAGCAATCATGTTGGCATATGATTGGCAAGACTGGCAATATAGATGTTTTCTTTTATATTTCTGTGAGCAGTCCTGATTTATTTTTATTCTGGTCTCTCACATGTGTTAAACTTACTTACAAGAATATTTGCAGAGTCAAGCCCACATAAATACAATTTATCTGCAGGAGTAAAAATTGTAAAATTGAGCAAAATTTCTGTTTAATAAAAAATTAATTTTAAAATTTCTGAATGTCTTGAACAGAAATTTTATGTTAGATCATATCCTAGCATTCTAAATAATTTCCTAGTGTTAATTTTTGTTAGTGACATGAAGCAGGCTCTTCATGATGCTTGTTGTCAGCACATATCAGCAAAGCTTTCTGCTCAGAAAAAAAATATTTAAAATTAAAAGTAGCTATTTAAAAGTCACTTTCAGTTTTAAAACCGGACTTAAATTATTTTTAAAGTTTCTGTTATTCCTGATTATAATTATTGTTCTTATGACAGCAAACATTAGGGCAACTTAAAATCAGCAATTTACAACCTTAGTGAGAGCCGTTAATTCTTTTATATGTCCATGTCTCCATCGATATTTTTCTCCATTTAATAAATCTATTATCTTTTTGTTACTCGAAGCAAATCTTTTCAGGTCATGCTGGTACATTACACAAGAAACAAACAAGGTATTTACTGTAAATAAACCTACATTTTTTAAACCTAAGCAAAGTAATACAGGCATATGTGTTATCACTGAAATTTGGTTAGCAACAAGATATTCAGCAAACTAAAATGTATCGCTGTACTTAGATTACTCATTTGAGTGCATTATGCAGCATTTTTCATTCAAATAAACAGAAAAAATCCTTTTCACAAAATGTCAGTGAGAATTAGATAATTCTTTACAAAATGAAGCTTAGAATTAGAATATTTGTATAGAAGCAATGGCTTCAGAAGCAAAAGCCTACACTAGAATAACATAGAAATATCACTTTTTCTGAAATAATTTTTAAAATATTTCCACCCCTCCATTAATTATTTTTGTATATAAACTACTTGCTTAAAACCAAACTAGAACATACACACACACACACACACACATATATATGCATCCACACACTCTCTCTCTCTCTTTTTTTCTTTTATCCCCTAATAAGAAGCCAAAAATCCCTCATTTCCTCTCTGAAAAAAAGTGTTTATGCTGCAAACTCTGAAATGGCAACTGCAGTGTCTGGCTTTTTAAGATGTAATGTTTATCCTTAGCCCAGTTGTAAGGTTAAGCTATGAAGATGCACAAATAAAGGTGGCTTTTTTACAGTAACAATAAACAAAGTGCATCCAAAAAAAAAAAAAAAAAATCCTGAAGAGGTACCTGTAATACGTGACATCAGGAATCTGTGACACTAGAGGTCTAAAAGGACATCACATCAATGAACGCCTTTAAATTTTTGAAATTTTAATCTGAGGCTGGAAAAAAGCTGCAAAACCTACAAAAGCAAATTCAAGGCGGTGATACACTGTGTTATCTGAATTAATACAACTGCCTGTTGCTTTTTGTGATTAATAGCTCACATTTCTTTTTCACCCCCTCCACAGGTCTTTTATCTTTGCAAGTAAAACCACAGTTGAGATTAGTCTCAATATTTACTGCATTGGCTGACACCAGTTCAAATTAGAAACAGACATGTAGGGTTCATGACATCTTTAATACTAATTAATTAAAATAAAATGTTATTTCTTTATTCAGACAGGCAATAGTATCTGTAGTGGTGGCTTGATTGCTTTTTTAACTGTTAAGATCTCCCCTGCCAAGGGCTAATGGGAAGGTGCAGTTAATTTCCCTTGTTGGTGTGTTGCAGTGCTGGGTTTGCTGTGAGCACGGGCACCATCCTTACTTCATTCAGGAAGAAAATAAGACTCAGAAAGTGTCAGGGGGTTATAAAGTTCCTCTAGTAGGGATGAAATCCACTGTCACCATTGCAGGAGCTGTCCCTGCCTGCCCGTAAGCTGGAAAGAATACCATGGGACACCAGTAGCCCCAGGTTAAGGCCTGGTCAGAGGGTAATTCAGTAGCAGCCCTTGCTTTACTTTGGCAACCCCTTCTGAGGGTAATTGCAACAAATTTGTGTCTCGGCTGTACCAGTAACCTGAGAGGTAGCTCTAATGTTTTTACCTGGTGGCAATCCCAGCAAGTTCTGGAAGTTTTGGTGCCAGCACATGCCCCACCTCATTCATCTCCACCACCATCCATACTTAGCAGAAGAGGAGAATGAAGGACTTCACTGAGGTGACAGGAGGTAAAGGTCTGGTGGGATGGACCCATGGAGCTGCTTCTGGTATCCTGGAATATACATTACAATACCAAAATTAAGGATGTTTGCAAAGGCATATGGATACTTAAGAGCAGGAGAGGAAATTAAACAGTGAGGACATCTCCAGGGCTTAAAAAAAAAACTCTCCTCTTCCCTTAATTCACACATGATGACTAGATTAAATATCTCAGTAACAGTATATCCCCACCAGTTTTTGTATGCTTATTGAAAATACAGCAAAATGCAATTTCCAAATAAACAATTTCCAGGAATAAAGCAGCAGGCAAAGGAGCCAAGTGCTAAAAATCTTGGTGCCTTGACATCATGACTAACAACCTAATTTTTTAAATTTTTTTTTTGGCAAATTTGCTTCACCTCTGTGGAATGTGGCTGTTTCCTGGATATATACTGTCTACTATTTCTGCACTACTCTTACGAAGTACCAATAGGTTAACAGCAAGAGAACAGCTCATTTAGCAGAAAAATAAAGGTGGCAGAGCTTGTAAAAAAAGGTGTTTTAAATATACTTACTTATATATTTGTGTCTCGATGAAATCCTGGTGTTGAAAGAAACCAATTTCATTAAATAAAAATTTGGACAACTATTGACAGTTGCCAGACTGAGAAATAACAGTGATATAAGCAGAGTTTAGAAAATACATACATGAACTGATACATTATATTGCATACATATAATAGTTTGAATACATAAAAATTGTAAGTAATATTGTGTGTGTGTGTGTGTGTATATATATATATATAAAAAATATATATTATCTAGATTGGAAGTACACTTCTTGTTTTATCCA